CAGAAAGTTATTTTGAGGAAACCAAAGTGTAACCGGACGGATGCACACCATACAATTTATTCTTGACTCCACAAAATAAGCCTTTAAATAAAAGTCAAGGTTTTTAAGTAAGCATAAATAATATTTAAATACAGCAAACATTTAGCAATTTTCCGAGATATAATACGCAAATCATGTCAAGAAAACTTTCTCTAATTCAACAGAATTGTGTCTTTTATGGTGATGTGTCCCTATACACTCGTCTTCATGTGAACTTAGTAGAACATTACACGATATGAAGCTGACCAAGAGTGGTGCGTGGTGTCAAGATTACTTACGTCTTATGAAAGTAATTATGATTGTTTGTTTTTGATATAGGATAATCAAAACATTCAATAATTAGTATGTGTATGCACGGTTGTTTATGATCTGAACGCAAATCACACATTGAGGATCGTGGTTGTGAATAATAAACAATTGGTATGTAGCATTCCGCTTGGCTATTATTTTGAAAAGGCGCACGTAAAGCCACTAAATTGAGTGTCTCATACCTTCTATTAGCCTTAGCAAACATTTGCAATATATTGTGGTGTGCAAAGCTAGGAGCTAGGAAATAAGTCACGTATAAGTAGAAAGAAATATCAAGATCCCAATATTTGCAGTGGGTGCAGCAGATTTTTTTGGTTTCCAAGGACCAACATACCCTGTTTCCAGCACACATCTAACATGCACGCATACACAACACGCATCGAGGCATTCTTAAATGACCCAAGCTGTTCAGAGGACGTTAAACATAATACAACTAAAACAAACCAAGTGTCCCAAAGTAGAGGCACAAAAGCTAACCACAGCATGTTTGTAGGGGGCGACTAATATGAAAACGATGACTTGCTTTCTGTATTCTTTTCTATGGATCACAAAAGAACAGACTTGGGCAATTTCTAGCATCCCTGCAGATCGGAGTTGAGACAAAATGTACACCTGATATTGCCTACTCTATGTTTTGTAAGAGACAACTAGTGTTGGAACCCCTTCAGAATTGGGAATTGGTTCTGTGCCCTCAATTTGGGGACATTTGGTTTGGTTTGGGTTTTTTTTTTATATATATTTAACGCCCTCTGAAGAGCTAAGGTCATTTAAGGACATGCCTCCATATGCATGTGTGTATGTGTGCTGGGGATAGGGTTTGTTAGTCCTTGCGGACACAAACCTGACGAAAAAATCTGCTGCACCTAATGATAAGGCGCTGTTTAAATCACCCTGCGCCCGTGGTCCGTTATTCCGTCATTTTGTCCGTCCTTAAACAATTATTTTTAGCGCTATTCCTCAGAAATTGCAGAAAGGGATGTTTTTCAAACTGCACATAAAGGTTCCCCATGGTCCCCAGTTACGCATATTAAATTTTGGGACTGATAAAAAAACCAAGATGGCCGACAGACGCCACTTTGAATTGTTAGAGTGAAAGCTTGTTAGCGCTATTTTTCAAAAAGTACTGGGGGATCTTTCTCAAATAGACGAATCAACACTTCGCCGTCGTCATTTTGAATTTTTGCAGAACATAAGCGGCCCCGAAAAAAAATCGGTTAAAAACCTAAATTTCGGTTAAACAAAATTCCAACACGCACAATTTTAATACAGGAAAACAACACAAAAAGGAAGGCTATACCAGCGTTACCGTATGACAGCTGATATGTCACTATCTTGGAATGTGTTTGAAAATGCTGATAAACTAAAGACAGATTCTAAAAACGGTACGTATGTGATTCACAGGGGTTCATTACAAATATCTAAAATACACATAGCCTATAAACGCCAACTGACTGTATAATGAAAAGGGTTACAACGCATATATGAGCGACCCATACTAAACCAGTATATTTGATGTGACCCATATCAGAATATGTCATTATGTGTGTATTTTAGACAAATCTTAAATTTATTCAGTCTACAACAGAGTCAAGTACCTTCTTGAAAATCATATGTTAGTAACCATGATAAGCAAATGTTCAATATAACGAAATGCAAATAAATATTCAATACAGATTTTATGGCAGTATATTTTTCTTCATCATTCTAATATGCCATGCATACTGTATACATATACAATATGACATACTTTTAAATCTTAAACTACCATGTGCACAATGACACTTTGTTTCGTGTAATATAATTATATATATATACAGGTATTATGTAATGTAGGCCAAGCAGGTATAATTTCAAGCATTCATTATTAAAGGGCTGGGTTTTTGTAGTAATGTTCCAAACAAACTGTCACTAAATAATCAGTCGATCACTCTGTGATAAAAAAATATATTTTTTAAAAACTCAACATGTATCATACAGCTCGCAACTGCTGGGATAATTGGGTGTGTGAAAGTGTTTTAAATTTTTATGGAGTCCTACTTTCACATATTTGTTGAACAAACTATTAATAAGCACATGCTTGTGTAATAATGCAATTGGTACTATATATGTGCTATTTAAGACTTTTAATGAAATATTACATTTTCAACTTTTGATTTCATACAATATGATTAAAATGGCCACCAGATTGGTGACATTAAATGTATTTATATCAATAGAGCCACACTAGGGCTTTTAGCATAAAATCCATAATATATGGAAAATTATGAGAAAAATTAAATAACCCAGTAGCTGCCACCACACACGCATGGCAGCCACTACTACAAATTATAACAGCTGGGGTTGCCAAAAATCGCTACAAAGACCTCCATGAGGACTACTCATGAATGTCTTCCCCACTGAAGGCTAAGTGAAACAGCCAATACTGGAGAGAAAAGTTGAGAAAACAACTAAAGGAGGTATAAATTAACACAGACTCCCTTTGCAGTTTATGTATTCAATTACTCACCAGTTGGCAGGCAAACCGTGCTGTCATGGTAATCAAGTACATGTACAGACCACATTGTGTCTCTACATTAGTAATATAAGTTCAGTTGATCGGCTCCAGCAAACCAACTATGGTGAGTTCCAACTTTTCGCATCCTGAGAGGCGAACAATGTTCATGAATCATGTACTTATGTATGCTTGCACAAGAAAGAGCTTCATCCGAAATACTCAAAGCACTTAATATATTGTTATATGGAATAGTAATACACCATATAAATGGTAGGTGGAAGATGTGGTTTTGGATTTATACAAGAAATAATTGATCTACAGGTAGATCGGCTCAAGTAAATCAACTCTTACGTCTAAGAACGAATGTATTTATTGAAAGCATTGCTGCGGTTTCGCCTAACCGAGCAAATGCGTTGGACGCGAACATAAACCTTGACCTAAACATGTATAATTAGGTCAATGCATTGAATATCAATTGGAAATAAAACTTGTTAATCAAAGGAGGAAACCAGGATATATATCTTATTGATGGTGAACCAACAACTAAAAATCCGTATACCTCTCTGAAACTTGGCTATCAACAAGTCAGCGAGATAAAAGCTCGAATTCCACCAAGGAAAGGCCTTTCAGTTTCGAACCAACATGTACACCTAAAAAGCAATTAAAATCGGTTGAAATTTTTTCAAGTGCTACAAAAGGATTGACTGAGCAACATGCTCCAGCAGAACCCCAGAGTTTGGAGAATCTAAAGGTTGCTCATGATTTCCTGTCTGATCATGATTATATTGAAAAATGCCCATGATGCACAGACAAGTCTGCTTATATTTGTAAACTTCAACACAAATCAGGACAAAATAACCAGAAAATTTGAAACTAAAACAGGTCATCTATCAAAATTGTAAAAAAAAATCAGTGTGGACAAAATTCTTAGATCAAACAAGCTGACAACATTTTATACTGGCTTCCCTTCTATTGCTGCATTTTTGGCTATTTTTATATACATCACCACATTTAAAAAAACATACGGTATCGGAAGGGACCAAGTCGTGTTTGTAACACCCTTCGTAAACAGGCCAAGAAATACAAGCGCCGAATTCTTACCACTAAAGAGGAAATTGTCATGACTTTGATGAAACTTGGTTTATTAAATGTGGACTTGGCTGACAGATTTGGTGTCTCTACAACCCATGTTTCTCATGTACAGGCTTACCTACCCCCATCTTTTAAAAATCCAAAATATAAGAGAGTTCGACATATAATTGACTGCACAGAAGTGTTCCTGGAAAAACCTACAAGCTTTGAGCTTCAGACGGTCACCTGGAGTAACTATAAACACCATCATACGGCAAAAAGTTTGCTTAATATCACACCTGTAGGAATGATCAATTTCATTTCAAAATCATTTGTGGTAGAGCAAGTGATAAAATTTAACATTGAACTCATGATTTCTGTAAAATTATTCAACCTTATGATGTAGTCATGGCAGATAGGGGATTCCCAATAAGAGAGGATTTTGCCCTTTTTAATGTAGAACTACTTGTTCCTCCAGGTAGAAGACGTGTGTCCCAGATGACCACATCTGACGTGCAAATTACAAAGCAAATTGCTAACAGAGGAATCTATGTGGAGCAGGCAATACGAAGACTTAAAAGTTTTCGTATTCTCAAGTATGAACTTAGATGACATCTGCCTCATTGTGGAGACACTGTATCTACATCCATTGGGATTGGCATAACAGCTAGGGTTTCTTCAATATAACACTATAGAAGTCAGCATCAAATTGTATTCTCAGTACAAAATTTCCATTCACAGTATATACAAACAAGTCACACCAACCTCTTCCAGTTATTGCGAACTGTCCCTGCGCTTGGGCATTATACATTATTATGTTCATAGAATAGGTATTTAATGACAAATGTGAGTTTTCTCCAGTTTTCAGGTAGCTTGGTACAGAGCATTTGCAAAAATCTAAACATTTGTCACATTTTACAACAAGTGGGCATTTTATTTCAGCTCAACTATCACCACATCATGAACATAAGACTAACAAATCAGGAGAAGCTGCTAAAAAAGGATATATTTTTTTAACAATGAACAAGCCGCACTCTGATATTTTTACATCCTGGTGTTGGTATTTGTATAATTTTAAATAGTGACTTGTTTTGCTTTTGGTTCTGTATCTGGACCATATTTCAAAGACTTTACATTTTTTAAACAATCTGTAGTATAGCCCTTGAGTTTCGAAACTAATGATGAATCATCTGTATTAGGGTTTATCATTGTCGAGTTTGTCCTTGTGTAGACAGGATAACAATTTGATGCTATTATGCGGCCTTTCCTTAACGCTGTCCACTCAGGACTAACTGATTGATCCTTGGTTTGTTCCAGGATAATCTGAATTTCCTTTTGTTATGGCTTTAGTATGCTGTCAAGAAACTTCTCAACATCTAAGTCCAGGTTATTGCCACTCTTATACTCGTCAACAATGTGTTTCATTGTGTATCTGTTGATGTAAAACAGTGTTGTAGGAAGACATGTCTCGTCAGCAGGTGAACTTGGAAAATCTAGGCCTGGAATAAAAACAAATATTTTTTTTAACAATGTACATGTATAAGCATATATGATTGAATCGTAAACAATATTCTAGTTTGATTTAACAAATGTATTATATAGTTTTTAAAAATCTGATGTTTAATTCAACATTCAAAATTAAATTTTAAATACTTCATTCTAATTTGGATTTGATGAACATTACAAAGTATTTCTAAAGAAAGTGCCTTTGAAAGTGTATTTTACTCAATTAGTTCCATAATATAGACAAATAAGATCAATTTTGAAAAATGAACGAATACTTAAAGTAATAATAATAACTTCCCTTAAAAAAGTATTAATACAAGTCTCTAATGTGCCTTTCTTTTTAAGGAATTGGCTCAGGTAATGATTCATTCAAAGTTACAGGGAAAATTTATATCAGATACATGATATTGAGCTCAAAAAATTGAATGTGCTCTGCAGCATATGCATATACTGACTTTGGTTTTGGTCAGGCAATCAACATGTACCTTTAAAGAGGCATACATTTGGAACGACTTCTCTAAGAACAGATGCGAGTCCTTCAGTATGGCTCCCTACAGCAATTGGTGTATACTTGTCCTTGAGGTTGGATACCAATGGCATGGCCTTTCCTATAACACAACATTGTATAGAGGTATTGTACATGTACTAGGTAGTACAATCACTACTTTATTCCATATAGGCCGAGATCCAAATACCTTTTGAAGTTAGACAAAATGTTATTTTCTAAGCAATGTTTAAGCATGTATTTCTTTGATATTGATACATACTATCTATTCCTCATTTTAAGCTCATGGGATATTTTTGTTTGGGGTTGGGTGGGTGGGTTTGTTTTTGTTTGGGGGGGGGGGGCAATTTACCCAATTAAGTTCATGTTATGTATATATTCTATGCTTTGATTTGTCTATATCATTTTATAATTTCTTACCTATCTGTCCGTGCTTGGTTCTCTTTATCAGCATGCCTTGAACTCTCTTTGGCTTGGGAAGAGACTTTGAAGCATATGGTATAGTCCAACTGCATGGCTCTGATGAACATGCTGTTATACCAAGCTTATTGGCAGCTTCCACTAAAAATAGCACACCAGCTATATGGTAACATGTCTGTCTAAGTCTTTATAGAAGAAAAAGTAGGGGTATTTGCATTGTGAATTGAACACAACATGTAAATGAAGTTGAAGTTTTATGTTGATACTGTTTAATGCTTGCTTAGATATTTTGAAGTTATATATTTTTATTTGAATTTAACAAAAATTAATTGGTATACATGGGTACCTGGCAAAGGTTACTGTATCACATGAAAACTGTGTTTGTTTCTCTTTTCACCAAAAATGTATATATATGATAAAATGATACCAAAATATTTGTATATTTGCAAGAATTTGTTATCTATACCATGGTCTTTACATTAACAGATTAATCTCGGATAATTCTATTTATATACAATGCAAATCAAGCTTACATTCATGACTGCAGACGTTTAGATAACTTACCCAGCTGTGCACGAACAGTATGCTCGTTTGGCCTCTCCTCTTTCTTCATCTGCACACACCCACACATTGTGCTAATCATTATTTAATCTTTGTGATGGAGTACACTTCGAACGCAACACACATGAGCCATCTCTAATAGTTGCGTATAACACTTCTTTGAGCTAGTTTGACGAGAAATACTGATAGGCTTTTCCCAATTTATACTCATGTAAACACTTTTGTGTTGAAGCTGGATCAGCTGTTGACATAAAAAATGTCACGATGTCTAGGCAAAATACTGGGGGCAGCATATAAATACCGCTCTTTTCATCGAGCCAGCCAACTGATTTAAGCAATGGATCTTTAGTAAAAGTGATACCACCTATGTTCAAACGTTTGCTCTGACAGTTCACAAGATGTTAAAACTTTGCCGATGTTCATTTTCTGCACGGCGTAACATAGTGCACTTAACTCATCTTTTGTCTGCTTCGTAGCGAGTCTACGGTCTGACAAGAATTGCTTCAAAGCTTCTATTTTCTATGTTTTAACTTCATCTAAAGATAAAGATAGGTCGCCTGGATGACTGGTAAATACATAAATGTGTATAAAATGATAAGATTTATACCAAACTGTTCTATAAAACGTTAATAAACAATCAGGAAATACGACGACAATACTGACATCGGAATGTTTACATCGCTACCAAAACGAGAATACGAAAACAATTCGCGTGGCCACTTACATCATCATTTAGCGAAGTGTTGATTCGTCTATTGCACATGAAGGTTTCCCATGATCCTTTGGTATGCATATCAAATTTTGATACTGATCGGAAAACCAAGATTGCCGATAGGCGCCATCTTGAATTTATTTAGTAAAAGTTTGTTAGAACTATTTCTCAGAAATTACCTGATGGATCGTTTTCATAATTTAAATGTCCCCATGGTTGCTTGTTATGCAAATCGAATTTAGACATTGATCGGACAGGCAGCCATCTTGGATTTTGACAGTGAATGTTTGTTATCGCCATTTTACATAAAGTACTGTATTTATCTTTCTCAAGTTTGATATGTACGTTTCTATTGGTCTGTCCTTGTGTATGATTACTTTGGCAACTAATTTGATGAGGAAAATGGCTGACAAGTGGCCATTTTTGAATTTGACAGTGTATTTGCTATTTCGCAGGAAGTGATGAAAAGATATATTTCAAAATTGATATGTAGGTTCCCCTTGGTCTTTTTGTGCATGTTAAATTTTTTTTTTTTTTTTTTGACAGTGAATGTTTGTTATCGCTATTTCTCCGAAAGTACTTGAGGGATCTTCATCATATTTGATACATGGGTTCCCCTTGGTCCTTAGTTGTGCCAGTTCATTTTAAGAGCGGTAATAAAAGCAAAATGGCTGCAGGAAGAATTAAACATATCTTTCACATTAAGTACTGTCCTAGTAAATATCAAAAATATGTGAAACGACAAACTCACATGAAAAGTTGTCTTTAATACACAATTGTATGAAGTTTAGATCAAAAGTTACCTGAAGGTGCATTTACTATAAACATGACTCGGTCAAACAGATCAGTGAAAATATCAAACTAGCATAGAACTAATGAAGATGGTTCAATGGTTGGCGCCAAGATCCCTCTGGGCTCTCTTGTATTTCTTAACACCTAGCTTTGCACACCGCACTTGGCTTTATTGTTGAAAGAGTTTGGGCGTTCGACATTACGGCAATAGCAACAACTGGTTAACCCGTTGTCAGTATTATGTGACCGGCCGGATGACGTGCTGAATACCGAGTACCTTCGGCATGGTATTGCGCTGAGAAAACGGTGGCAAATACACCAACATAGCTGTTCATGGACGTTAAACAAAATGAAACCAAACCAAACTAGAACTTAGAAACAGTTGGGATATGCTACAAGGATTGGCTTTGGGGTCTGGTACTATCCCTGGGATTTTATTTGGATATTTTTGCCATGATTGCTCTGATATCCAGGTGAGCATTACAGGCCCTCTTGGCCTCTCACTTTTTTCTTGTACTCAAAATTATCCTTCTTACCTGATATAGAAAGACAAACCCTCAAAAGCTTTACATTTTCTCAACGTACTATTCCATACAGTTTTGGGAGCAGACCTGACATGCTACTGCGTCGCTCACTCATTCGTTAAAACATGGACTGGTTTCATTATAGCTCCATCAGCTCGCAAATTACATTTACCAAAGTTCTTAAATATGATAGTTATTATTCCGTGTTTACCGTTAAGCATTTAGGGTTGTCATAACAACCGGTTAACAGATTTCCAAACATTTGGTGGTTGTCATTGCAATATATTCCGTATTCAGTTAAATTTATTTTTATCTAATGACCTGTTAAATACTATTTATAAAGACTTTGGTATGTCACGGCTTTGGGACAGTACCCATTCTAGTACTCACTTGGGCGTTCAACATTAAAGCAAAATGTACAGTATTGCCAAGCAAGTCTCATTAACAAAATGGTTGTCAGAAAAAAGAGAGATGTAGAGATCTCAAATATTGCAATTGGTGAAGCTTTTTTTTGGGGGGGGGGGGGGGGGGGTGGTTTTCCACAATTCCCTTTCTTACGATTCATACGATAATCGTAAGATTTAAGTGTGTTTAATAAAGAATAAAATTACAAAAGAAACATGAATTGACTAAATCAATCTTGTGCTTAAAAATTCAGAGAAACTATTATTGATAAATTATTAATAACCTCAAAGTTTCCGCCGACGAAATTTTGACCTCAGTCTGCTTGAAAAAGACTTGTATATACCTTCGATCTTGGTCAATTAACGGAACTGTTTTTCTCGCATAAAGTGTTCTTAGGTGAAAGAGTATTTGGTTGCTTTTTTGTGTTTTACAGTGCTGATTTTCAGTCATTCATGCAATGATTGAATAAACTGATTTAAAACAAAAATGTGATAAATTCAATAATGTTCTTTTCATAATCTGTTATGTTCCATCTATACAAGCTTTGATTGATAAAGCTTTTTTGTGCAATCAACATATAATTATTCACACTCAATGGATCTTTATAATAAGATTTGATATATTTTAATACTAGTTTAAAAAAAATGATATGTGGAACCTATATACATGTCAATTTATATTGTTTCGTCACCATACGATATTTCTATACGAATTGAAATACTACATACCTGTATCCGTTACCTAGACCATGTCTGGCAAAGAAAACAATCAAATAACTGCTTTGCACAGCGTTGATACCTAACTGCATCAATGACTAGAAAATATGTGTGACTGCAAATACAATTTGTGTTCTTGGGGCGTGTTTTTGCATAATAGGTGTAACATGATGTATGCAAAGCATACAGTAAAGTTGTTAGCGTATTATCTACTTGCAAAAAGAACTAGGCATGCTCGATAAACATGAAATCCCTACTTATACATTTTCAAATTTTTCTAAACATGAAATACGACCTTATGTATGGTCTGAATATCCACCAAAGATAAGAATACTGACCCCCTGCCTCATTTGTATCGGATTCCGAAACTCCGAAACAAGAATTTCAACTCGGGACTATACCTTTCACCCATAACAATATATATTACCAACCAATAAATGACTGTGCTATGGATTCACCCATTGATATTACTAATCAACATGCCGTACTGATCCGGACCGAAAACGGAATATATTATTCTTGTTTAATTTTGAACGATTGTAACCCGAGGACTCTACTGACGGAATTTAGCAGATGATGGTGATAATAAGTGCGGATTTGGATGAATAAATAATCCGTCTATCGATATATGTGAGGTATGTGTTGTGCCATAGTCTATTTTTGTTGTCAGCAACTCAAAACTCTCCGACAACGGAGAATTCCACGTTTTCATAAAGGAGTGCGCTCTGAGCTCAAACCAGACATCTATCTGTCAAAATGTCTGAGTCTGGTGTCAGGGACCGAGGAAACACGGGCTAAGTAAATACATGTACTTGTATTCTAGAGAGGCAAGGTAAATAAAGCGAGAATTTACTTTCTCTCTTCGGTTGGAGAGACAGTTTTGTTAGAAATTCACCGGTTGTACAGTTAAGGATTTCTCCATTACTTATAAAAACGCCAACAAAACATTGCTTTTTGTCAATTTCACAACATGAATTGTTCATAAGGAGTATCAAACTATTTTATTATGAAGAATTTTGTGACAAGGTTATAAAAAACCTCACTTTACTTAATTGTTACTCTAAGCAGGGAATAACAAATACCAATGTAAAGGACTTTAGTATGTCCCGGCCTGGGTACACAAACCATAGCCTTCATTTTGCCCTGCAGGTAGGGCATACAAATTGTACCTGCTGCCCCCAATTGCATGATCGTAAGAGGCGACTAAATTTGGGACCTTATCTCTTCTCTCCTTTCTAAATAACTTTCTTCTTCCTAATGTCTCCCTTGACAATGCCTCCCTTTTGGCCATTTGTTGAGCGTTCGCCCCTGTGAGGAAGGCTTTGGGTTCTTTCCCCTGGCCGAGACATACCAAAGTCTTTAACAATGGTAGTTTGTACTCCTGCTTAACGCTCAGCAAGTTAGGAGTGGGACGACTGGTTCGCCCGTTGGCAGTATAATGTGACCGGGTGGGGCGTCCTGCTGGGTGGCTTCGGCAGTATGTGTCAGTGGGGTAGCACTATAAAGTCGGCATCAGTTCCGCGCTATCACAAGGAGACAAACACGAACATATCGCAGCCTCCCAAACCACACACACATACACAACACGCATGCATCTTGCACACAGGGGAGGCCGGCCTTAAATGACCTTAGCTGTTAATAGGACGTTAAACAAAATAAAACAAACAAACAAACAAACAAACAAACAATCATTATCTGGGCGAATGGGCAACATTAAAGTCAAAAGTGAGGTGTTGCCGAGTAAAGCGTAAGGAAATAAAAGGTAGTTAGAAGTAGAAACATAAAGAGCGCAAATACTGTAATGGATGCAGCTGATATATTTTGTGTCCCGTATTACAGTACAATTCAACAGGGGTTCACGCATAAGTCGCCTCTTATGATACCTGCCGTGAGAAACAGCAGGTGTATTCTTTTCTCGTACCTCGACCTGACAACGGAATGCATAGCGTGTCAGGAACTATTTACAGTAAAGCACTTGCTATCAGTTTGTATCGACTTTATGGCAACTCGGGTACATTTCTATAATAACATTACATGTCTTAAATTTCTTTTCGAAAAAATAACTGTCTCTTTAATTTTAGGCTTGGTGACACTTTCAATATTCAAATTGATGTTTGTCTTACCTTTAAGCTTGTTTGATGTTTTTATTTTGCATTTATTTTTGTCGACCAGTTGTTAGCTCTAATGACCTCTCCTGTGTTGATTGGCCGTTAAGCATTAATAATAATAAAAAATAATAATAACTGACAACGGAGGAACCTTCGGCATGGTATTTCAGTGGGATACACACATGCATATAGTAGAAACATGTATGCATGTCCTTAGATGAACTTAAATCAATATCGCGGGCCTCCTGCCTGACTTTAAATTTCCAAATATGATCACTATCAATGTGATGCCCCTGTCTGAATGTTAAATAGATTAACGAATGCCAAGAAATGTATATATGGAGATGATCTGGCAAAAACTGAAAACAATTGTGTCACCCCATATCTAACTAAACAAAGCGACCGACTTTCTGTATACCGCCTATGTAAACACAATTGCAGGTGACCTACGCTGACAAAAATACTTTGAAAGTTCGGGGAAAGAATATGCCTGCTTAATCCCACTGTATGACAAAAAGGGGCGACTCATGAGGGACCCAAGTGTTTCGTGTTCCAAACACGAAAGAACATGAAAATATGATGGAGAGAAAAAACAAATATCCATTGAACTTTAACAATCTGTACATGACAACAAGACCCTTAAACTATTAAAATAACACCTGGAATGCAATGAGTTGCTGGCACAAAATCGAACCACCTTCGATAAGAAATTCTGCAAAAATCGTTCTGAACTGTCTCCTTATCTTCACTCGTTTAACGAACAATAAAAGCCTATTCACATTAATCACCACAAAACTGCATCCAACTATGTATATTCCTCACGTACTTTGGAAGAACTCCATTTTCGGGGCCAAGTTTGCATCACCCCTGAAGACATGGCGTGACGTCATATGCTTGATAGTTCCGCACACAATGATAAAAGTAGGTCGGCCACGTGATGAGAGGCTGATGCTATGGACTCCCGCCATATATAAACACAATAGATTGCCTCACGTACTGTGACTTCCGGGCAAAATGCTATTATCAACGGGCATTGTGGTACGGGAACACGTATTTGTTGGAGTAAGTATAACGTTTTTACAGATAAATCAAAGTTTCAAATGAGAAAATAGTGTTAAGGTAGGTACATTTGTATTGTTGATCGAGAAACAGGTGATATTTACACTCGAATTATATCCTGTTTCGTTTGTATGACACTCCTGTTTTGCGATGGGTACAGCGGACACGGTGCTGTAACATTAAAATACAGTGCACTGTTGCCAGAATTACATTTAGATGAAAAAGTTGTTTGCCCGTGTTGGATGGTCCATATTTGGCAAGAGTGGGATTTGTATTGAGCCTTTTCCTGACCCCTCGCTGTTGAACACATTCTCGACAATGTCAGAGTTGATAAATCCAGAATTGATACTGAATGTTCCATCTTTCAGATTTAATTTACACAGTGAAAAGAATCCAGTAACGGAGGAATTAATGTCATCTCTAAGTCTCCTGTGTTATGAGATTCTTGTTTTTGATGTACAAAGTGGACTAGTACACTTGTTTTTCCAATGTGTTGAAAAATTTCACCACATACTTTAATTGTTTTATCCTGCTGTCATCAGCATTTGACAAGGGCGATTTGAGTCACAGAAGATATCCATTAATAGTGACATATTTTCCAGTAGTTGAATTGTGGATGATAGCTTTTCTGGGTTTTTTAGGGCATGAGGAACAACATGCCCTAATGAGGAACAACATGACCTAATGAGGAACAGCATGCCCTTGTTGAGCACATGAACAGCTAGATTGTTCCTCCTTTTTGATGCTGGTGTTAGTAAAATGTGTCCCTCTGTATGTTTCCTGTGTATTCTTAACCGGCATTGTGTATTGAAATTAATACACAATGATCCAAAATAATTGAAAATAATAATAGATCCGAGCGCATTTAAAACTATGCCTAGTATTTAACAAATATTGTAGTTGATGGCGGAATGCTGACTATGTAATATATAATAACGGCGGTGAAATATATTACAAAATGAAGAAATTATCTGTTTCTGTAGATATTCCTACACTAACGGTTTCAGGAGGCGGGGTTGGTGCCGGTAATATAATACTGACAACAAGTGAACCAGTTGTTGTCATTACCCTAAATGGCAATCTGATTTAAATCATCTGTTACATGTTTTTCAGTGTCAGGGCCTATTTTGGCATCAGTTATCAGGTTCAATCTGCATTTCTTCAAAGAAACATCATGATTTGTTGTTACATCATTGGTAGACAAAACAGCATTTGGTTGTGAAAGCAGGCTCAATGGTTTTCGTTTTCTGCATTCCTTCATAGTTGTAATGCGTGTTCACATGCACTTATAAATTTGAATTTCCTGCAACGATAACAGGTAGAGTTCACCCCTCTTTTTTAATGATTACAATATTTATTGTAACTCATTACACTATGCATGTGATATGCACTCGTTTTATAATATGTTTCTCCTTTATTAAATAAATAATAGATACTTACACATTCTGTGTGGATCTTTCCAACATGTGACGTCACGCCATGGCTTCAGGAGGGATACAAGTTTGGCCTCGAAAATGGAGTTCTTCCAAAGTATGCGAGGAATATACATAGTTGGATACAGTCTTCGACAGGTTTGTGTTGATAAACGTGAAGATTTTGTTTTTGTTTTTGTATTGTTTCACGGCCCATCGACAATTCGAGTCATTTAGGGCCAAACAACATGTTAAAATAGGCAATCACAAAAATGAATACATCAACAGGAAACGAATTTATATCAGATTTTAAAGATGAAGACTTATTGAGTGTAAATAATCACATTTATTGAACAGAAGCTGTATCAAATAAACTTTTCATACACGATGCATTATAGAATCTGTCACTTTTTTTTGTTTGAAATCAATGCATTCAATCATATAATGTTTGACTGTAAATGGCTGATCACATGTATGCCAATAAGGTTGCTCGTCTCTATGTTAAATGTAACTGTGTGATGTAGGTATGGCCTATGCGCAGTCGCGAGAGGACAGTCTCCTCTCTACAGCCCGCTCCACCTGCCTCACATAAACCTACGTTAGGTTGAACTGCGAATACTTTGTTGATCCCCATTTCAGACCATTTAATTTGCCAATTCGTCTTCTGTATGGAATGAAAGGATTTTGTTCACAGATGGCATGAAGCACCCTTGGGTAAAGAAATTTGAACAGTAGTGTCCTATGGGAAAGGGAAATTAGTTTTGTATAGATCGTTGGTCTGACCCCTTTGGGGGCAGAGAGGGGTGGGCCCAAACGAGGAGACATAATAAATTCGTTAAAAACCTTCTTCTTCTGGAGGAATGACAGGATTTTGTCCAATTGCATATAAATATAACCCCTGACTAACCATGTAATGCACTTCCAGCAACATCTGGCTATTTCAACTTCAATTTTGCTAGCATTCCCAGGTGAGCGATACAGGCCCTCTGGGGCTTCTTGTTTATACGTTAAATCAGTAGTTTGGTTGGGTTTAATTTTGATTAAGGTCCTATGAACAGCTAAGGTCATTAAGGACGGATCTCCATGTGTGTAGGGTATGCGCGCTTGTGAGTGATAACGAGTCCAAAGCCAGACCAACCAATTGGGAAACGACAGGGAAAATACAAGTTGCCGACAACACATGCTGCTGCATCTTTCTCTTAAATCTTAGAACAGTCAGTATAGATAATTGTATGCAAAGGAAATCGTGAATATGCTCTGAAAGAGCTCTTGTATTGAACCGTGAGAGTGCAAGATTTTCCATAATTGTGCAAATCTAAATTTACTTCAGGAAGCCGAAATGTCCATGGTGGAATATTAGGTAAAGCAGCAATTTCGATTGATGAAGGGTCTAAATCTAAATTTTCCTGTGGTTTTTGAAGTCGTACGCCTAAAGGTGGGATCAATTGATAATTGCGTTCGAAAATACGTGTATAATTGCTCGATTTGATTTTAACTGGTTAGCAAACTGTAGACATAATTTTGTTCTATCACTGAATAACGGTTCATTTGCTTTAACGCAGAGGCCTTCGGCTGGTGTTGTGCGAAAAGCATCTAAAACGGGACGAAGCCTTTGATGATGAACTGCGTCAAGCATCTACAAATATGACTTGCGGGTGACCCATATATAATGAAACTGTAACAAAACAAAAGAAGATTGCCTGCAGTGGGCACAGGCCCGATCAATTAGCTGATCGGCCGGTTAAGTTGAACCCGTTTTAAAATCGTCTAATTATGGCATAAAGAACGTTCCAGCATTGATGGGAACTTTTGCCTCTTGAAATATAAATGTTGAGATCAACTGGTAATTTCATGACAATTAATTACTCTATGCTTATCATTTTTACGAGTGTGGATGAAATATTGTACTAGTGCATCGGGTCACGCACGCTAAATATAGCTTCATTTAACGAATCAGGTTTAGTGAAATTGGACGCTAATTATTCTTGTGTATTATTCAACATTTGTACAAACCGGTGTGATGTTCACGTTGACGATATGAAGTCAATTTCTTCTATGTATCGCCTGATTTGGTCATGGTGCACGTGGCTGTCTTCCGTTCGTGTGCCGCCGTCAACTTTCACGGCCATGGTTGCACTACTTGGCGTCGGCTACATATCTGATGTCAGTCTTAGAGGGTACTATGTTCCGATTTATATTATTTATAGCTTGTTTATAAATTGCTAATAACTTCTAAAAGTGTTTTAGGTAATGGTGCATCATTTATTAGCCAATCCTTTATCGGGATTACTTTTCTTCGCGCACGGTCACAATGTAATTAGCATTGCTAGTGGCGCTAGCCAATCAGAACGCCGCTAGGCTTAGCACAATAAAGAACACTCGCCTTACTTTAAGAGTTTGGCTCTTAGTACTTTGAGTGGTGTCTCATAGGTATATTCTCTTAGCATAGTAGAGAACACTCACCTTACTTTAAGAGTTTGGCCCTTAGTACTTTGAGTGCTGGTCCATTGTAGTTGATACTCACCTTACTTTAAGGGCTGATCTCTGGGTAAATATTATCTCCGTTGCCTTTTAATCTAAGCACAGTCTAGGAAACTTACCATTATATTAGGTTGTAATAATCTGCATCAATGTGAAGTCGATTCCTTAATTCTAGTCGACTTTTCTTCAGCATTCAAAGCTTGATCTTTAATGTATCAGTCAACTCCTAGTAGCTGAAGTTGGTTTCATGAGAATAAGATAGTGTTGATTAGTGTAATAGTGTTCGAGAATTGTGGAGAGTTATCTCCCTTCTATCAATTATAAACAGATATAGGGACTGTTGTGGTAACCTTCAACTTTATTAATCACTCGTCATACATATATTATGGTGAATTCATGTTGTGTAAATACTGTGTACATTCCTTATTGCCATTTATGTAATAATTGTCTCATTGTTGAAAATGTTGTGACTTTTAAATAGAAAAATATATTTATAGAACGGGATTCCTGTCTTGAGATTTCTATAAGTCTGAGTCACTACTGGTAAATTAAGGCTGCGCTGTAAGAGCACCTGAAGCATAGGCTTGTAGTCTACACCCACAGATTTACAATAGTAATACGACTGGACAAGACCACAATACGGGTGTAGGTTTAGTCACGCTACCAACTCGATAGGAAAAACCACACCCGTGGCCAGGTTTTGGCACAGAACAATAGTAAAGCTTTGAACGAACAAGTGAGCGATACGGACGCAGCAGCACATCACGGTCCGCTCCCCAATCTGTGTGGGATAGTACTTTTAGATTATTTAAAGCTTTAGAGCATTTATCTTTAAGATATTTTATATGAGCCAAAAAGGATAATTTTGAGTCGAAAATGAGTCACAAGAAATTGTGTTTGTTGAACAACTGGAATAATTGTCCCGTCTAGAGTTAAGTAGGGATCATTGTGTAATTTTCGGAGTAACGTGAAGAATTCGTTATTATTGTTTGTTATGCGATTGTAGATCATAGCTCGGAACGATTTTCACAGAAAGTCTTATTGAAGGTGGTTAAATTTATTGCCAGCGACTCATTTCATTCCTGGTATTATTTGATAGTATAAGTTATAGATTGTTATAGTTGTATTGATTAAACGTCAGACTCCTGTGAAGAGTTAGTCAGCCGTTTGTAATCATTTAATAACACTCAACACGAGTTGGTATAACAGTACATCTTATGTCTTCCTTGCATTCGTACATAAATAATAGTTTTACAAAATTGCCATTATCATCTTTTATATGTGTAATAACAGTCAATTCAGATATTGTTCAGTTTTTATGGATCCGGGAAACTCTTATTTATTATAATATGCATATTTCCTCAGAATAATTCTTTTTGTAAATCATCACACTTTTAATCCTTCACTGATATTCGTTCTACTTAGTTAAGCCAGGGTTTCAAATTAACCCACGCACAATTGTGGTTAATCGTTTTTGGAAGATAACTTATGCAGCCCGGTGAGATATGCAAACTGATATTTAACCCACCGTTTTAGCCTGAGCCAGTCTGCGTCTACGGAGGATAGCAATCATTTAATCCGTGAAAATTTCAAATGACTGTGTGTGATTTGACATCTTGTATACATGAACCACCGTTGGTTATCTTTTCTATCCACTCAATTAGGATTAAAACACCTTTGAATTTGTCCCGAAGTAAATCCCTAGGCTTTCAATTTGTTATACACAGAAACGTTTTTATCTCTTTATACAAAACACGCTAGATAAAACCCTGCGGAGGGAAATGAAGTGTTTTCATCAGTCAATTGTATCTCAGTTTAATGTTTCTGTTTCGAATTCTAACATTGGTGATATAATGAGCTGATTTCAATTTTTTAAAGCAAGAATTCAGTGGCAATTACGAAGTTCAGGCATGATAACGGGCACCCCTGCGGTATACATGTACCACATGACACTTCGTCACTTCCGGTAAACCAGTCGCTATTTTTTAAAACACTCCTTGACTTTTGCATATAAACATCTTAACCCATCTGACAAAAGAATATCCAATACTATTTTTTCTAATCTGCAAAGCATGAAGTCCATCTCTAAGGTATGAAAGACTTTCGTGAAATCTAGAAACAGTTTACCGAACCAACGCAGTTGTTTCTAAATAGTGTATTATACAACTGCACTTATAATATCGGAATATCTCTCCCATTGACATGTGACACCTGATTACAGAAAATGAAGCATTATAAATGTGCAACTTGTATGAAACAACTATTGTCGGGGAAACGCCATTAGTATAATAATACAGAAAATTTCGAATAAACGTTGCATACTTATGCATGTATATATTTCCTAATTACAAAAAAATGTTCCATTGTCACACCTGCCAGCATTTAGGGAAATGGTAGCAACTGGTTTACCCGTTGTCAGTATAATGTGACCGAACGGAATGATGTGATGGGTGCCTTCGGCATGGTTATTCAGTGAGATAGCACTATAAAGTCAGTATCAGATCTGCGCTATCTTAAGGAGGCAATAATACCAACATACCCTGTCTCCGGCACTCATGCATAAATGCATGCATTCATAATACATACAGAGGCACGTCTTTAAATGACACAGGCTGTTGATATGTCGTTAAACAAAATGGAATAAACCAAACCTGCCATCGTTTGCCATGTAAGTTTCACAAGCAATGATAGACCAAGATCATAACAAATCAAGACACATTAGAAACATTTAGTTAAAATAGGGGTAGTACTGCTAAATGTACTAGCATCGCTTCGGTACTCTGTTTGTACGCAAGTTAACATTGGCAAAGTTGCTCTATTTTATTAGAAAAGATAATAACAACATTTATAACCGCTTAACTCTTTAAAGGTATGTTATGACGAAGCGGCCATAAACGAATAATTGTATGACCGTTACCTCTTCGTATACATTTGTTGATGTCACCATTTCTTGTTTTTTTGTTGTTTTTGTTTTATAGCATACAACATGAAATGAATGGCGGAATGCTGTATTGGCCCGGGTGCCTTCGGTATGGTACGTCAGTGATATAACACAATAAAGTCGGCATCATATCCGTACTTTTACAAGGAGGCAAATATACCAACAAACCCTGCCTCCTGTACACACAAGCACGCAGACACAACACTCATGGAGGCACGTCATTAAATGACAACAGCTATTGATGGGACGTTAAACAAAATGAAACCAAACTTGGACCAATAAAATCTTTTTTAGATTACATCACGATGCTGATCATCATAGTTTGATTAAAATATTTCAAAGAAACAATCAAACATTTGTTTGAACCATCTATCTAGAGTTGATATATGATAACAAAATTGTTATTGAAACTGTCTTGTCATAATATGTGTATATATTTTTATTTTTTTTCTGCATAAACCTAACAAACATTGTAGATTCAAATACCGATACTTAACGTCGTACACCTACTCCATACATGATCAGGTCTGAATGCACACGATCGACTATAAAAAACCATTCTTGTATATACCAAAGGTTTATTTTGTTTTTTGTTTAGCGACCTATAACCAGCGAAGATATGAATGCGTGCGTGTGTAAATGTGTACGGGAGGCAGGGTATGTTGATATAATTGCCTCCTTGCGAACGTGGAGATTAATTGCCGACTGCTACCTCACTGAAATCCCATGCCGCGGGTACCCAGCATAGTAATACACCCGGTCACATTTTACTGACAACGTGTAAACCAGTAGCTGCAACCACACTGAATGCTGAACGTTAAGCATTAAATTGTTTACGGACATTGGTATATCCCTGGATGGGTAACGGAACCCATTGCCTGCTTAGGCGAGTGCCCAGCATAAGGCTACGACGTTAAGCCCTATAAAATCAAACCAAATATCTTAAATAAGGCACCAGAAATAACTTCCATTGCGTGTAATGGAATGTTGATGATAATGTTCAACTTTGAGCACATACCATAAAATTACTGCTAATATATGTTTAGTTACTTCCCTTTGTACGTTGCTCCATCTGCAAAACAATGTCTGGATTACAGGCAAATTGAAATTCTTAGAAGTATAACATAAAATAGCAGCAAAATCTGATTAATTTCATTCCATCGATCAATTTAAACTGACAATGTCCAAAAACGAACATAGTAACAAAATCGGTTTTAAATACCTGCATTTAATACGGTGTCACCTATTCCTAAATAAGGCAATACTTGTTGAAATAATTATCTAGCCGGGTACTGTTCGTTTGTTTTTATATTTGTGTTAAATATCTTATAAGTTATACATGAAGTGTTTTCTGTTTAGTATTTCTGTCTATTCTATGGCAGCATCAGAGCTTATTTAAACTGCTATACTTTCAACCAAATGATGTAAAATGTGTGCCAAGGTATACCATTCGTTATAACATGTAAGATAGACAAGCATAGCAATAATCTATGCACTCAATGTTAATGTTAATTTTTTAAAATATTTGTTTTAACCATGTATATAAACTTTATCGCTGCGCTTAGAACTGCGCTAGAACTGACTTGATTAATTGTGGTTATATTCAGCGTTCACACATTTCCGACTGCAGATTTCTGCTTAAGAACATGGTGTAGATGACCGGTATGAACAACTTACAGTATAATCTTAATGCTGTTTACTACTAAACAAGCGTTATTACACTGTAGCAGAGCAGGTTCGGAACATTAGAAATAGTGCATGCAGTATCCAACTCGGAAAACAGGAAAGGGAGACTAATGAATAAGGATCGACCTTCATTTTGACGGCGAATACACTAATATGAACGCAGTTTGAAACGCAAATATTCTTTGGTGCATGCTAGCGCTCCATAGAGTATAGTTCGTGTCAACTACATTCATAATAACGTATACGCCGTCAAAATGAAGGTTAATCCTTTCATTTGCACCCAAAAACTAGTAGTTGGTAACTATGGTGGCTGTGGTTGCTAGAATAACAAAGTCTAAGTGATGCTACATCGATTTGAGTTGTTTTGAGAATACAGTAAATAACACTTTTCTATTCTTTTCATAGCTTTTAATTTTTAAATTGATCAATGTGAGTAGCCCTTTGCATATTTTAGTTCATTATAACGGCCGTTAGTTCGCGCATTAACACTTGGAATGGCGTGGTCGAATGTTCTAGAACGAAGCTGCCATGTTTAACTTTAACGTCAAAGAAATTTTAATGTGCATCCATAAAATAATAAGTGTGCCAGAATCCCTTTGTACTATAAATATACCGTCTTGATCCTGAATATTTTCCATGTATCTAGATGTTGAAGAAACCGAGCAATGGTTGTCATCGGACTGTTACATGTCTCTCGGTGAAGCGTGAACAGCGCCATATTTGAAACACGTTTCAATCCGCTGAGACCTTTGTCACTGCGTATACGCTAATTCATACGCAAAGCTGAAGAAGGAAGTGGTATATATATAGGCCCATATTGAATGGTGTTTTCTGTGTCCTCTCCAACGGGAAATGGAAGATACAAAATACATCTGTTGGAATCGTAACAACACTTAGGACATACACATCTGCTGTACCCATTGCATCACTCGTGAAGTGTGACCTATGTAGAAATCTAGCACAGAATTTGGGGTTTGTTGTTGTCTTAATCTACTTGTGCCACCAAAGCGAAAATCAGCTGTTCCCATTGCAGTGTTAGGGATCGTCATAGTATATTTTCCTTTTCACTACGGTTCGTTTCATAACTCCTTATTTGGCAATGCCTCGCTGCTAGCTCTGTTGTTCAGCGTTCGCCCAAGCGCGAAAGGTTGAGGATTCTGTCCCCAGACCGTAACAAGTCCAAGTCGTCCTTGAAATTATCTCTAACACGCTTTGCTTTTAGCTGTTAGATGTGTGACAGGATGGGGTGCCATGCTGTTGTGTCCAGGTTATGGAACATCTTCTTATGATCTTAGCTGGTGCAGACAAATCCCCTAAGCAAACTATCAGAAGTAAATGAATGCAAAATTATGACTTCCTTGAAATATTGGTTCATTCATACCTCAAGTATACACAATGAATGTATGAGTATGTATAAAGCTACTTCATACTAAATTTACAGAACAACTGGACAAGTTACAAATTGAATAAGCGTATATCTCTTTTTATATTCGTGAAGCTAATAACGACGTAAAATACCTAAAGTAAAACGTCATTATTTGAATTGTCATGGTACGCACAAGGTAACACTTTCCCCAGAGAAAAATAATTGCGATGATTTTAGGTGTGGCATAAGAACACGTACATGCAGAACATAAGCATAGGTTAGAACCGCTTATTTCAAGACATTCAGAAACTTATATAAACCATGCTTATAACGTGTTCTAAAAATACAAAAATAAGTAAAAACTATGTTTCTTTAATCCTTTAATGTTTAGTTGTTCAATCCAACAAACGCAATTATATAAATAAAATATCAAACCACACATGATCCCATGTCAACGTTTACAAGTATATAAAGAAACAAATAATAAAAAAGCGAATAATAAAAATAATCAAAGGGACGGAAAACCAATGCCATACACATTTAAAATATCACAGATATTGAACATGTTAAAATGCGCAGTTATCGTTATTCATTAGTATTCTTTAACATTAATATATGTTAGACAACAAGTCATTTGATAGGAATGATCATTTCGCAAGGCTACAATATGTATTTAGATTGCAGAATTTATCACACAGTCTTTGACTAAGAGGATGTCTACATTGACATAGCATATAGGACATACGTCATGCACTTATTGTTAATATAGATGTCTTGTTGTCCATTTCGTTCACGTATTCTTTATATTGTTTCAGGTTAAGAACTATAACCAACTTCTGTCCTTAATAGTACTGTCATTTGGCACCCAAACAAGTATGTTCATATATGTGTTTTTATTATTAAATTAAAAAAAAATATTTTCAAAATTGGATAGATTTGTTTTCATAATTCACAAATCCTCAGTAAAAATATGGATTTAAACAAAGCTAAAAATGTACATTGTCGCCGCAATATATCATCACATATACATCTGGCTAAATGCTAGGTCAAAGAAATGAAAATTAAAGATTGATTGCAAAACGAGTTAGACGAATTAGATTTATAATCAAATCAGATAAACCTTCTGAAATCTTTACATATTGTCGTAGGCGTATCACATCCAATAATGCATACTGAAATTAAATCATTATTTCACATCAACTCATTCTTGTCCTGTCAGTTTGGATCAACGTCAAGTATTGAACACTTCAGAAATAATTGCTAGATGGATCCTTTAGATAAAAATGTTCAACTGTAGAATGCGATACAATTTATGATTAATTATGCAATGAAAATTACGATACAAAGTCACACAATAAAAACCCGATTATCTTCACAAACAAATCTGGAAATTAAGGATCCTCGTGATACCCAAATGTTAATAATTTTGTTAGATGCATATTTTGAAAGGCTTTTTTTGAGTTGATTAACAAACAATGTTATATATGCGAAATTTGCCCCTTATTGATGTAATTAAAAGAATCATCTTTAGTAGGTTATGAGAATCACATAATTAAAAAAGAAGCTTTACGTATGATATCGTTTGAAGAATGCAAATACATGTAAAGGAGAATGCGTTTTCTGGTAAAGTATTACTTAAAAGCTATTTGTTTTAAAATTGCAGACTGCATTATAAACGATACAACATTTTGTTTCAAGCTTCATTCTAGTCTGAAAAATTCAAAGTTTATCAGTTCAGTTGACGTTAATATTTCATAACTTCTTTCACTCTATCCAGAATCATTATGCTTTCATAAAGTTGACGCAAACAAATGTACACAAAATCATAAAATATACACTTGACATATCACAGATTATTCTTGTTATTAAAAGCCGACGTGACTTTCTTTTGTCTTGTATTCACAGACAATATACTTATGCGATGGAGCATTGGTGTAATCTAATGCAAAATACTAGGTCGTTCAATGCAAATAACGTCATACATAATACTGTTCAGACACGATTTCATTATACAGATACGATTATTGTTGTACGAAATATCACAGCAAGGTTAATCATATCACGTGATCATATCGCGCGATCATACCACGTGATCATACCACATTAGCAGCACCATGACGGAGTTTGATGTGATCAACAAGAATGACTAGCACCATCTTACTTCAGGTAATTAAAGTGTCAACATACATGTTGCTGACCCTTCCTATCGCCTGCCGCTATAAAAATAGATTATGTTAATAAATATAGACAATACAAATAGCAGGCATCATTACAAGAAATGGCCAGTCACTTTATGAAATATATATATATATATGAATCATAACATTATTATTTCGATCACCAGCGTACCGTGCATTTTCTTCGGCCCTTGCAAATCCGGAGAAGACACTGAATCTTTCTTTCAACCACAATATAAAGATAAACATAACACCCTGACATAGAAATCAGAAGCCGTTATACCATAACATTAAACATTGTTATTAAATGTCAAACAGTGTACACTCAACATATTTTTGACAGGTTTACGGTCTTGTCGAGCGTGGAGGAGGTTGAGGTGTGTTCAAGTTTGGGGAAATATTAATTTGCTGTTGTGTTGGCGGTTGTTGCCCTAATCTTGCCGGTCTTTGAGGTATTCGTGACGTTGTCACTGGGGGTTGTGGTTGTTGTTGTGCTGTTGGCCTTGTTTGACCCTGTTGTTGCGATGGCCTTGCTTGACCTAGTCGTGCTGGACGCTGTGGAAGTACCTGACCTTGTTGTTGCTGTGATTGTTGTTGATTATTTGGCATTTGTCGGACAGGCAGATGAACATTCCGAGCGTTCAAAGGCTGCGACGGATGACTCGCTTCTACGTAGGGTGGTGGTACAGAAATTATGCTTACGTCACTCGGTTGTCGATTCGCAGCCAATTGCCTTTGTAGGTATTGCTGCTCGTGATTTGCCTCATTTCGTAAACGCATGTGCATAGCTAGACGAATGACATGAAAACGAAATATTAATTGTTTCACTGTTGAAGTTGTCTATATAGCAATAAAATACATGAAATTCAATACAATTTTGTAGATGTATTATTTTATGAATGACTACAAAAGCCTTACCGGAAGTACGAAATTAGTTGATTAAGCATTTTCTTTTGACATATCTGCTTGAATCGTGTACAGCACAAATCGAGCCCCAATTGTTATAGTTGTATACTCACCGCGTATATGTCGGATGTCGCCATTAAATCCAGGAGGAACAACCACACTCTCCTTGATAGCGTCATCGTAAGCTGGTGGTTCCTGACTCGGAGCCAAATAGGGAGGCGGATCTCGGGGCATGGTAGCTAAAATACCAATCATGGCATTATCAAAATGTTTTCATGCTTAATATCAACACAGCCGTCTTTTTGTATCGCTGCCTCTATTACGTATAAAGATGATAACAATGAATGCACGTTCGAGTTTTATATCAAAAGGGAGAACAAACATGTAACAATACAGGGAGGCACCAACCTAAATAATGAAATAGTCTGCCGCATCAGTGAATGTGTTTTTTTATTTAACGTTAATGCGTTTAATGTTTATTTAGGTGGTTTTTATTTTAAACTTTCATGATGGTTTGCCTGTCGCCAAGGTGTCAATACGCCACATGGTCGTGGCAAATGCATTTTATCCAGGTAAATACAAAATATGATATAAATATCAATGATCATACCTGTAAATAGGTGGACGGGTGTGATTTTTATTCGCACAGGATGTTACCATGAAGAATGAAGTGAAGACAATGTATGTTACATCGTACTACTACATAAACCTTATCGAATAATGTCGGTATTTGATATTTAAAGGATAATAGAAAGGAAACGGTACAGTACAGCAATCAGAACAAGCTGTGGGTTTTTGACCGATTTAGGACAGTGTGTAATTTAAAAGAGGGTTAAACTTCTGAAGAAATGGATACAATTTGAATATGGTTGGACATTGGGAAAGCGATGTAATAAAAAAAAAAACAGAATGTTGGAAGTATACATAATCTTATTTAAATAGGATGCATAGAACAAGACAAAATATAGTCGATAGTGCTGATGTGATATAACTAAAATGAGTATTGATGAATCCCATTAATGCATAATGCTTTATTTGCGTATTAGAAATTGCAATATAAGCTTTTGTTATACACTATCTTCTGTTATTTATCTTTGGTCGTTGTAGCCGTAAAAGTCAATTCTAATATTTGAACAAAGTATGAAACAAGTGTCCTGTACACCTGATGATAATGAAGCCGTACAAACGTATAAAATACATTGGACCCTATATGTGTGAACAGCGTCTATCTATTTACTTAGCTTTCATTTGAAAAGTAGGACACAGCATGGTTAATGCAGGAAACTGTTGTATTTGTTAAAGTATTAAATGCCATTGTAATTATATCGATTACAGCCCTTTTACTGTGATCAAACACCTTTTCTGGTAATTGCTTTACCACTTAAATAGAGTTTTTCATTCAAATCTTTTCAGACGAATTATTTGAAGAATACACGGAACAAAAAGTGTATTATATTATAAATGTGATGAGATATGATATATCATTAACGACTCGTAAAATGACATCATTGAAGCACGCGCGGCAGAAATTGAAATATGTAGAGGGTCCACGAGAGGCCTGTACGAATATATAAAACCTTTAGACGTCATTTTAATGCCCTCTTAGCAAAGAATGTAGATGAAAACCCAGTTTTCTGCAAGGACCATTTAAATAGCTTCGTCCGATCATGCAGTGGGACACAGCAGGTCTGTTTCTCCAAAGATTAGGTTGTAAAGTATGGACAAGAAATCTTAATTGGACGAAAAGGATACAACTATTGTTGGTAACTAATGTACTATGTTGAGACGCAATTTTTAAACTGACATATTTTATTTATCATGATTTACCTTTTAGCTAAATGGAATGTTTAGAATTATTTATTAAGGACAATTGCGCGAAACGATGATTGTATTTTAAATATCGATAAAAATGATTTTGAGTATCATCTTTTAAACATGACCTTATAACATCGTTTAAATCTGTCGCTGTAATTTTTTCAATTGTTTGTTTGCTTGTGTTTGTTGCATATGAGGACGGGTGCCTAGAAAGACAACGCAAGAAAGTGGAAATGGATAGAATAGCAAAATAGGTAACAACAAATATCCCAAGTGTTGAAATCGGGGCAGCGGACCGATTTTGGTCTCTTCAATGTCCACACGGAAGGAACCCTCGATTCTGCAGGGAACCACACATTAGTCGCCTTTTACGATACAAATGCAGTGATATACGACAGGTCTTTTCTTAGTTTCTTCAATACCCCCTAAACAGAATACATGGAACTACACCCGTGCATGGGGTATGATATAATGAATGCGTTAATTTCTATTAATATGCTCATTTCAAACACCCATACCCAATCTATTTCGGTCCAATCCTTTAAAACAAACTAGTTGCCTATCCATGATTCTATATTGGTATAATCTAATTAATGATGAGTGAGCACCTAATTTCCGTCAATAAGATTACTGTTTAGGCTGTGTCTTAACCTCAGGATTATACTAAGGTAAAATAATTACTCTTGGCTCAAGTTCTAAACATGCATATTGTAGACCACTTCATATCGCTGTTCAGTAAAAATCTACAGCACTTTTGTATTGTTTTCTTATTGTAATTGACTACATAAAACTCGGGTTCTAAAAAAAAAATACATAAAACCTGAAGCAGGGCAATGATTCAAGTAAAATATGAAAACAATAATGAAAATCATCACAAAATATATCAAAATACATATCAGTAATTCAAGAATGTGTTCACTCTTATGTATCTCAAAAGTGAACATATGTGAATTCTTGTTGCATGTACCAGTACAGTGAGTCACCCGTCTTCAGTAAAATTTGACCGGGTATATTTCATTCACATAATTACTTGACACGATCACGAATCCCGATATCTGACGAATATTGCTATCATAAATTAGATGTCTAGGTTTCTTAAGTAAACTGTTCGTGGTTAAGTCATTGGAGGAGCACACGTGAAAATAAGTAACCGTGTGCATTAAGTTAAGAGGATTGCTGAAGTTTATATCACAATAAAGGAACACATAACAAACAAATAAAAAATGTAATAAACATTGTTTTAGCAATTTACTGTCAACGTACATAAGTACCGGTATTTTTTAGCATTTCTCGCGCTTTAAATATGATTTCGTTAATTGCTGTTTTTAATGTTGCTTTCTATTACATATATTGATGACGCGACAATTCATCAATATGCTTATAAGTACAAAATCGATAATGCGCTAAATGTGCTAGTTAACAGTTATGCAAATAAAATATCACATATGAGCATGATCGTTCAACATTTGTCCACAAGTGATAGGAACATGCATGGTCTTTGATTATGCGAATATGATGAGGGGATACTGATATGATAAAAGAAATTACCATTCGATCAAATAATAGAATGGTACAGTTTGCACAAGTTAATGTAATGTTTAAGTGGATATGAAATGTGACATTGATAATACTTACGCCCTAACCGTTGTACTCTGTTCCTCCGTTTTGATTTATGTTTGTAGTATACAATTAGTATAGTAATTATCACAGTCAGAAATAACCCAAAGGCAACCCTGCAATATCAAACATGTAATTCATTAATCTTAAAATAATCTATGTAATATTATCATATTTTACAAATGTAAAGAAATTAACATTTTGTTATAGAATCACATGCTATGGCAAATTTTTTTGATTAAGTTATCCTATACCTCTAAAGTAAAAAAATGCAAACTCAGCACTGTGCAAAAACACTGCATGAAAGCAAATCTGTAAACAGTATCCCTTTTCTGTCTGTTGGTATGGTTTAAGTATCATATATGTAACGATACAAATAATATATAAATAATTAGGCACATGTCCTTCATTAAGATCTTGGTCCTGTAACCAAATTACGTTATTATCTATCTACCAATACCTTTAAGAATGATAACTCAAAATCTTTTAAATGTAAAGTCATTGCTTTCAAACAGTGCAAGTGCGTTTTTCATCTTTAAGAGACACCGTAGCTTTATAGAATTTTATTAATGTATGTATTGGGGGGAGGGGCTGAATTCACATCAATAATGCTTACATTGTATCCTACACATTATTATTTCATCCAGATGATAAATAATAATCAAATAGATTTAAAGATAAGCATGTGTATAATAAGGCAAAATAGTCAAAAGTGATATTTGAAGGTATCTCAATTCACATTCATATTTCTATTTCATTATGGCTATCGTAGATACAACTGTTATGTACATGACGACCCTGTAATACACATGTGTTCTTATGGGTCATTGCTAGCCGCTCCCAGTTTTATTTTATCGTAATTGTTAAACCTTGTTCACTGCCTTCTTTATTGATTCTACAAATTACCAAAACGTCTCAATATTATTTACCCCTTCTGCTCAATTCATTATATACCGGGGGATAGAATAAGCAGTAAGTATAAGACATGCCAAACCGGTTGGACAAACCTGGTATTTCAATAGCAGCCAGTGTATGGGGTCGGAATTTTATCTTTATACAAAATAGTATGCCATGTCAATTTTAACCAGTCATGCAATGCCAGTACTTACTATACATAATAACAGGGAATCAATTCAATACAACTACAATAATACTAACCAAACATTCCAGCTTAAAACCAAATTTGTAATATTAAACAGTGTAATGTAGCACCGTAACCGTATGTAATGACTAGTATGGAAATGTTACCACGCCAAAGAATATACCAAATAAACAAAAGTACAAGAAACTATCAACATTAAACCGTTATACTTGTATGAATAGTCCAGTACACCAAAAATCTGTCAGCGCTTACAGAATAATCCAACGTTACACAAGTCAGTATTTACCTGAAATACCAACATCTCGGTACTTGCAGGGAACAGTGCTCTGATTCATCCGACAAACTAACGAAAAAAGTACTTACCAGACATACCAAAAGGTATACCAACAGTCGGCTGCTGAACCATCAGACATAGAGTCACATGATTGGCCTCGCACACACTGAAACATAAAACAATTCCATGAAGCATACAGTTGTTTCTATTTTCTCCGTTTTGACAGAGTAACTTGTTGTTTTCCCTACATCATCAATTATTTCCTGTAATACCCATTACACTAATGTTCTGATGGTTATTAACTAAAAAGACATATAAGCAGCGTAAGGAATTATTATAATTACAGAAATTGTATGGCCTGGCAATGCAATCGATTATTTCTTTCCCTTTGTTTTAAATGCAATTAGACAGTATCTATAAAAGTTCACATAAAAAACCAATATCAAAGAAAATCACGTTGAAGATCTATTGATTAAACTGCAGGTGAGTATCATATCCTTTTGATAGTAATATTATCGTACGTATGACAGCTCCAGTAGCAAATATATTGCTTCTTTTATCAATTATACAAGTATTATTTTTTTATTTAAATACATAAAAGTCTCACTTTATTTAAAATAATGCCAGTACTCCTGTACTATCTGACAATGATAGAAATAATGGGTTTCGCGCACCTCCTTTATTTCAACATTTGTTCAGACTGATCATAAGACAATTTCCGATTCATAAAAAAAAAAAAATAGCATCAGATTCTCAAATTCAATGTGGACTGTTTATGTTTTAAGTGTTCGTTTATCCAAATCAGAGAAGACAAATGCTCCTGTATCGATCACTAATTACTCCGTAATGGTTCTTTAAATAGACTTCCCATATTTACTAACTCTGACCACAGCGGATAATAGGGCACATTGACTGCAAAGTAATATCATAGAATAAACAGTTTCTTTGTTATCCCTTTGTCGCTACATCGATTATATGTGAGTCTAGCTTTCAGGAGACCAACGCTCGCAGTACAACCCCATCGAACATGAAACACAAATCTGGATCTCCCTGACATGTCCTGGAACTAGTCATGAACGGAAATCAATATGTTTCTTTTCGCTCATGTCTTGTTATAGTTTATAAAAAAAAAATAGCTACCTTTTTCACTTCCTTTATTAGGAAATGCAACATGTATTTGCTTTTAGACCTTTTTATTTTTTAAACCGGTATAATGAAAGTCGATCATTCCATTTACGACGTAATACAACGGTGATGGCACAGTTTGTGCGAAAATTGATTCATCCAAATTCAACATTACACATGACACAGAAGAGAGGAAATGCAACAGGATCAAGCTTGCATTCGTACCCGAGACCTCCGCAATCTAGACGTCTTCAAATGGCCTAAGCTGTTTAATGAAAATCGATCATTCCATATATGAGTTAATACGATGATGATGGTGTGATTTGTTAGAAAATCAATTTATCCATATTTTCACGGCCATATCCCCTTGACTAGTTCACACACACCGCTTCAACCAAGGTTTGGCGATATTCACCTCTCCAAAATGAGAAGGAAAATGCATCGGTGTCAGACCATAAAACTCGTATGGACGTTTTTAGAAACTGGGTCACCTTGTCATCGGTAGTCACCCTGCCAATTCCCGATTCATAGTTTGAAAGGTTTTTGCATGTAATTGTACACACGCTTTCGCACTTAAAGAAATTTCTCCTTTGCAGATTTGAGAAAGCTGCAACGGTCTGGAAAGCTTGAGAACTCTGTTTTGATCCCCAATCAAAGCACTTTTTTCTCTTCTTGTGACAAATTGGTTGTCATGGCCGTTTTAGACGTGACAGGAACGAAAAAGGATGGGTTGAAATGGATCTTTTTAATTGAAACAAAATTTTAACAATTTCGATGGCGTTGCATTATGTTATTCAGGGGATATGTTGCTAACGATTTTTCAATTAAAATGGTCAGTTAAAACTTCAGCACACACTGTTTTTACCAGAATATCTTATTTTAATAACAGAAAATCAGTTTCCATGTAACATTTGGTACCGTGTAGAAGAATATTTCCGTGGGGATGATACTTCGCTATTTCCCGTGTCAATAACGCGATCGCAAAATTATGATCCGCAGTATATCAAGAAAAGCGTATAAATGAACCGTGATAATAAACCTTATAACCGTTACTGTCAACGTGGAATATTACGCGCGGTGGAAATTTACGCTTATTACGCGGAGTTGGGTCGTCCGCGTAAATTTCCCCCGCGCGTATGGTTTCGTCGATAGTGTAAAGAACGACAACTCTGATAGATATTGGTACGTGTGTGCGATGTCCTTCTGTAATATTGCTTTGTTAACGTATTTCTAATTAACGTACATTGTCCTATAATGGTATAAAATAAAAACAATAACAACTGTAATAAACTACTTGATAAATTTAAGGTTTTAATGAACAACAAATTTGAAAATCTATATGAAGACACAGAAAAATTCATTAATAAAACCGGGTGCATGGAGGTCCGGTACACATCACTCACACACGTGTCTACGGGACACAAACAGCTACAATGTAGTAATCGTGTGCAACGATCCCTACAGAGGTAAATGCCCCTGCCATCATGGTAGCGACATTAACTGCGCTGAGTTACGACAACTTTCGAACAGTGTATGGTTTTATCATTGTTATTTGGGAAACGTGTTTGTTTTGACTAAACAGCACTCATCTGTTTGATCCCAGTTGATAACGAGATCAGCTGGTATAGACACACACCCACACGAATAAAGTTCACCTTTAATTTCATCTGTCCAATGACCAGTCGGTACGCATACGTAACATGTACTCAGTAGCTACTAATTCTTACCTGTACACATTTTGTAAAGTATGACGTCATGAAAAACCGAGTATGTGGTTGTAACGATTTGTTAGAAGTAAAAGAGTAATAAAATATTATTAAAAAACATGTAGTACACATGTTATACTTTTGTTGGTGGCTTTTTTCATAGAATACAGTAATAAAGCATATTAATTTGACTATTTCACACTCTGTACGCCAAACGTTCAGATTGTGTGCTAAAACACCACAAAGATTTATTTCCTTCTCATTTCTTGATCGCGAAATTCTTATCCGTAAAAGGCAAATATTCAATAACCTGTTATGCGGTAGTTTAAAGTCTAAGCAAGGCAAAGGCGTTCATCTAGCCTTGCAACTGCCATTATTTTATCATGGTAACGAATACAGTCGCAAGCTTGCGCATAAGACGAATTGTTTATGTGATGGCATATGCGTTGAATACTTATTATCATACACCTATAGTTGGTGTTTTTAATATGCGTGTTTGGAAGCAAAGGGAAATATGAATATCCCGGTTAAATTTTGTATATGCATTCGGAAATCCCTAGACGAACAACAATATTAAACAAATCAAAGCCATGAAAAACATAATGATGTGTAGTTACCATAGCATCAAATGACAACGTAAAAAAGCAGCTAACTGTGTTTTAATTAATCGACTTGATCAGTGTACAACGGGTTAGCGCTACAACGAATGTATACTGCGGATGTGTTGCGTTGTTTATCCTTCTGTATATATGGCTATCTTTCTGCCTGCTTGTTTGTCTGCCTGTATACATATTTAATTATATTTCGATGCAATACTAGCTTAAGCAATAACTGACACTCAGCATGTGAGGCTTCGTGATGTTAGACAGCAGCGGATGTTTCTTTTCTCACATATTATTCTATATGACGCGAGGTTTTGAAAAGTTTATTGTTATGAATTGTAACACTAAACACACAAAAGCACTTACCTTGAAATAAGCTGCGTTTGAATTATTCACATTATTTGACTGCAGGGTAGTATTTTAGCCCTTTAACATTATGACTATTTGTATTCCTGTAATATCGTGCTACTGTCCAGTGTAATGATAAACTATCTACAGTAGTATAATCACTGTGAATCGTCCACTAAACTTGTCACATGCAATAAACTTAGCTCAATAAACATGGACACTGTCCTCAAGTACACTGGGGCTTCAGTGACGGAGACAGTGCACGGTTACGGTTGATAGTTGCTTATGTATATAAATATGTGTATGTAATGGCAAATCGATGAGAGATTTACCGTCAGTGAGCTTGTCATTCCATCTAGCTCTTATCGGCCGTGAACAGATCGATAAATTGTCTATAATTCAGACAGGCAATGGGTCAGTAGTTTCATCAGGGTACACTGTATCTGGTTTTTGATCATTTAAGAGGAATTCGGAATACTGCATCAAATTTTTTCCGAAATAATATATGATTTAAGATATTCAAGTTGGTTGTTATTAATTATACAGTTATAACAATCAAACATGTTTTGTTTGCTAGAATATACACATCGTCGGCTACCCTCGGTTGATTTCGCTTCGGTACTCGCTTATCATAATGAGTGGGTACCGAAGCGAAATCAACCGTTGGTATACGACGATGGGATATACACAGTTTCCATCGACATTCCAATGATTGCACTCACTCACAGAATAAAAACGGCATACTTTTACTATGAAACATCAGGATATTGAAATATCTTACTATAGGGGACTTCAGAGGACCACGAATTGATATGATGCATCCATTGCAACACTTTGGATCTGTATATTTCCTTTTCTCATTATTTCTCCTAATTTTCGCTGTTGTCTCCCTTGACACCCTTCTTCATATGACTCTTGCTGTTACGAAGACGCAAAAAATACAAATAAACAAAATCTAAACCTGATATATAACTTTTGACCCCTATTTCACTTTATCTTCACATAATGTAATAAATTGCTTTTCTTTGTTGAACATATGAACAAGAATACGTACTAAATAAAGTTGGGACTGACTAATCCAACCCATTGTGTTTGCTCGTTTAATCAGTCTGAGTACAATGTTACTATTTTGTATAACTCCTGTTTGATATACACGCAGCGATTTAAAGACGTATAGTTGACGTAACGTTAACTGAGGTATAACTAGGTATTGTCACTACACTGAGATTAAAGCTGGTCTTACTCAGTGTAGTGTGTTAGCCTTAAGCAGATAATTACGTCTATAATTACTGGTTTATCTTGGGTTTTTTCCACACAATAATAGGATCAATATTGTATTGTTCAAACGGGACCAAAACTGTATTCCATAGTATTTGTATTTCAAT